TATATATATATATATATATATATATATGTAAACAGTAGTTTCAAAAATAAAATCTCCAATAAAACATTTCAAAAGAAAGTGCACTTTGGTATGTGATTGTACCCATGGAAAACCACATTGCCCTATAATTATTTAATTAGTTAATGACTTTGTCAAATGCTTTTTGACTTTTCCAAATTGTAAACATCTATTCTAGGCAGGAGTGGTGTCAGGATTTCGCAACAAAGGGTGGGGGATGTTCCGGACGGGGGTTCGATACCCCCGTTCGTGCCAATGAGTCCATGAAGTTAACAATCAAATGTTAAACTTGATTTGTAGTTTATTGCCTTTGATTATGAATACTAATATGGTGGTACAATGTAGACTGTTTTATTACGGTACGGTACATCTTCCACAGAAATGATGAATTTTTGTTGTTAACATAAGTGTATTGTGTGGACGGTAAACTGACGTCAAAAGTGAACTGTATTTATAACAGCAAATGCTCATTGTATTGCGTCTTAATAATAATAATGATACTAATAATAATAATAATAATAATAATAATAATAATAATAATAATAATAATAATAATAATAATAATAATAATAATAATAGATGGATTTATATAGCGCAAATAAATCGGGACTAGATGTTGCACTTTTCAATAACTCTCTCCTCTCCTGAGGGTCTTAAGTCACATTGATATTCTTGTTCAATGATTAAGTTATATGGTTATGATTACCAATATGGTAATAATGCGCCTAAAATAAATACATAATACAATTCAGCACTTCATAGAGTGCATACCCCTGCTCTGTGCTTAAAGACATACCGGGTGTTTATGAGCGAGCCGGGCGAATCCATTATTTTATGTTATGCCCAAGGGTAAGTTTTTAAGGAAATTATTCGAATTTCCATGACCTTGATTTTCACCTTTGACATTTTCATCCCAAAATTAAATCAACTCTTCCTTAGACCAATAATCTACCACTTCACTAATTATCCATTAATTAGTTAATCCTGCAAACGAACAGATAGACAGAGAGACAAACAGCGGTGAATACAACATACCCTCCTCGGCGGAGGAGCAAAATAGATAACATAGGCCTATATAGTAATAGACATAGATATAAATAAATTTTAAGAAACAAATTATTAATAAATATTCGTTGAATCAATGAAAATTTTAACATATTGTTTATTAAGTTGTTTTTGACTTTTTTTTACTTCGCTCACATTGAATACTCGATCACTCATAAATACGGTCCTAGGCCACAGATCAGGGTCCACACTTGGTATGTTAGCCCCTAAACAGAGTAGGTCTCAACTTAGCAATTCTTTAAGTCGCAGTACTGCCAGGTAGGCTTCTTCTTTGTCGTAAAACACCATGGTCTTTCTCTACCGTCTGGGTTTCTGCAGTAGTTGTGATCCCCAAGTCCCTTGTCATTTACATTGGTTTGTGTGAAAAGTTGGTGGCTGTGGGGCCAATTTGAGCTCCAACGTTGACAGGTTACACCGCTGACGGTATAATCTAAGGTTCCTCGATAGTTGAAGCCGTTGTTCGTAATACAAGTGTCTGGAAAATTTAAGAAAATGTATTTCGTAATACTTACTCGAAGTTACAGTACATACTTGGCCTACAGACATAATGCAACAAGGAATATGGTATAGGCCACTGTTTTTTTAAAGTAAAACATAACAAAAACGATTGAAGCAATCGTGATGCTTACTTTATCCCTTGTAACTCACAAAAAATTGTTAATATTGCTGTACAATAATCTCATAACCACACGTACAGAGGAAATATGGACTGCCAAATTAGAACACTCTTGGCCTTTCGCTAAGCAAATGTCAACATTGGCTAAATAGTCCAGGTAATCTGTCGATATACCCAATGCAACTTGCAAATTATATTTTGGAAATACAATAGATCAATAACCATTAATTGTAAGTATATCACTGATTTTAGTATTGTCAGCAGGCTCGTGAAAAGGATTCTTTAAATAAAGAGATGAGGGTGTGGTTCCCATGAGATCCCTTGCTCCAGGGGGAATTTTGATCTGCTGGTGCATAAAGTCTAGGTTCATGTTAGTCTAGGTTCATGGTTTTTTTTTCTCTTGTCCGTTTCCTTCCGTTGTTGTCAAGCGCCTCGAGGTTGGTCCAACGGGAGGCGCTATACAAATCGCAAATTATTATTTTTATTAAATAACTTGTTCTGTTGGTGGGGATATAAATTTGAGACATAGCCCTTGTACTCTAGTTACATAGAAAAAAATTAGGTCTGAAAATATTGCAAAATATATTTGGAAGAATTGATGCAATGGATGAGTACAAAAATGTACACTATTGAAGAGAATGATCATTAATATCAGGCAATTTAAGGCTTAAATTACAAAATAAAGGAAAAGAGTGAGAAAGTGGATGACAGCCAGATATAATCCTGATAATCTTTTTTGCATTATTTTGAGTT